ATACAGCTCGCAGGAGCGGGTTGCGCTGGGTCGCATCTCATACGGCACGGAGCCAGACAAGATACAAGAGATTGTAGAAAGAGAATACTGGGTCCCGCGAGCAGAGCAGGAAGACATCGACAACGTCGTCAGCGGAAAGGCCAGGGGGAGATACTATTTGGTTATCGGCGAGCGAGGTACTGGAAAGCGAGCTCTACTCCTGGAGGCTATGCGGAAGGTCAATGGCGACGGCATTGCTATGCTAGAAGCGCACAACGATCTGGAAGTCTTTCGAACGCGACTCGGGAAGGCCATCGACTACGAATTCCACGAAGACTATATCGGAGGACTGTTCAGCATTCGGGGCCCGAGGGACAGCTCGCCGCTACTGGACATTGAGAGAGCGCTCAACCAGATGGAGAAGGTAGCCTTGTCGCTGCGAAAGCGTCGCGGCAAGCCTCTTCTCATGATTATTAACAATATCCACTTGTTCAAAGACGACGAAGCGGGAAAGCATCTACTGGAAATACTACAGCAGCGTGCCGAAATCTGGGCGGGCAACGAGCTCGTCACGACAGTCTTTACCTCCGATGAGTTCTGGACCCTAGAACGCTTGACACCACATGCGACCAACATGCACGTCATCAGCGTCAGAGACGTACGGAAGAACGTGGTAACTACCGCACTCAAACAATACCGCGCTCGCTACCACAACGAAGACGTACCCCAAAGCATCCTAGACGAAGTCTTCGCCAAAGTCGGCGGCCGACTCATCTTCCTAAACCAAGTCGCCAAATCCCACGACATGTTAGAAACATGCAAGCAAATTAATCGAAGAGAGAAAATGTGGTTCCTGAACAACTGCTGGATCCTCGGCGACTCCATGGACGACGACGTGGAAGAACAACAAAAATACTGCGCTGCCGCCATCGTCTTAGCACGCGCGCTCGTCCTGCGCGAGAACGAGACACTCGATTCGGATGACCAGTTCACACTCCCCCAAATTCCGCTACACGAGGCCCGCCAGATTATCACGCGCGCCGATTTTGTGCACCCGTTCGATCACATTAACGTTATTCATATCGATGCGCATGGTATGGTACGAGCAGATTCTGTGCCGATGCAGAATGCGTTTAGGGAGGTTGTACAACAGCCGGGCTTTGAAGAGCATTTGAAGGCGACGCTGAACAGGTTGGATGAGCTGGAGAGTTTGGCGAGGACGAGGGAGGTTGCGATGAGGGAGCCGCCGGATAGGAGTGGGGGAATTGTGCCGGTGCAGACGTATTGTGCGAAACTCTGAGGAGGTGAAGAGGTGGGTTTGTAGGTAGCAGACCGCGTCGATGTCGCGCGTGGTGCTGCCTGCTGCTGCTGTCGCGATCCCGTGCATGCTAGCACAAACATCGAAGTGGTATACATTCAGCTTCGCGTTCGTCTCCTCATCGCAAGTCTTTTTCCCCACCTCCAGCTCCAGCAGATTCCATCGCGCCATGTCCTTATTAGACCTCCCGAAGGAATTGCTCAGCAGAGTATGTCGTTTTCTCGGTCTCGATCCCCAGACGCGAAAGTACGAAAACAAGGACTTCCACTCCCTACGCCTCACGTGCAGGGAACTGTACAAGCGGACAACCTACGATGCGATTATCCGCTACGGACCTATGCTTCGCGTGCTAAAAATCAAGTTCACCTATCCATCCCTCTGTCGAGTCTTGCAAATTGTTAAGATCGAGGAGTTCCGTGATCGGATCGTGGCACTGGAATTGGATCCATACGCAAGCCATGATTTCGACCACATCCTAAAGCCATCATCGCCACTCCACCCAGGCGACGAAGAGAGAGACATGTTCATCGACTCAAGTGAAGCCGTTCTTCTTCTAACAGAGTGCTTTCGGTGGTTGGCCAAGGCGAAACGGCTTGTACAAGTGCAGCATTCCAGGTCTGCATCAATCCATGTCTCTTTAGCGGCTCTAGTGGAAGCCCAGTTTCCGGTCAAGCTTGATATCGTGTACGCATCCCCGCATGACCTTATAAGTCCACCGGGTCACGGAGATTTCGGACGATCGCCTGCGATTTACGTGCCCTATATCAGGTGTATCTCAACAGATGGAGGTGTCCCAGGGGTGCTGGATTATGACGAGGAACTCATCCAGGAGCTGGGCGAATACAAGAACGAAGTAGGCATTCACATCAAGAACTACCGCCTTCGCCAGCCAGCTGTCGCGTCCTTTTGGTTCGGTCTGCGCGATATCGAGCATCTGCACATCTCAGGCTGCATATGCGAGCCTTACTTGCGCTTTTGTAATGCGTGCAACGACACCTTTAACCACATCTTCCAGGTCGCTTTCAGTCATCTAACGGTCTTCCATCTGTTCTGCATGTACGTTAGTGGTGGCCGCCTTCGAAGGTTTCTCCGAGAGCAAGGCCACACACTCAATCAGTTACTATTCTCAAACAACGTCTTGACTGACGGTTCATGGAAGACTATCGCACAAGGGCTGCAGAAGCTACCTTTCTTGCGTGGGCTTACTCTCGACCATGATCTTTTGCAGAAAGTTGCCGTCCCAAGACCGCAAGGCCAACAGATACCTGTGTATCGATGCGAGGACCCTGAGGATGACGATGCGGGCGTAGACAAAGTTCGCCACTATCTGGCATTCTTTATCGAGAATTTCTGCACCTCGAGATATACGGGTACTAGATACTTGCCGTGGCCCTTGCCGCATTATCACAAGGTGGATCTCCCGATCTTCTCGCTGGCTTACGGCCCGGAGACTATTGACCGTGACCCTGCTAATCAGGCGCTGGAAAAGTACATTGTGGAAGTTGAAGGGGATTAAGGCGCTGGTCACAGGCAAACGCTACTAAGACGAGTTTTACGAATTCATATAGCTGGATACATTGAACACGAGGTATTCAGAAAATGCCTTGCGTCAAGGTTACTACATACAATCTCGGTCGCGTCTTATTGCCCTGTCCTGCTTTGACATTCCACCGTGATACTGTAGCGTACGAACAGGCTCATCCTGTGTTGGTAGTACCCAGCATAGTCCCCTTCATTCTTGATGAGAGACTGGAGTCGATGCCGAGGCAGAGTCCACACCGCGGTATTAGTAACATAGTCCCCCTCGTAAACGCGTAATTGCATACTGCTCAAGCTTCTTCGTCCGCCTCAAGATACTTGTCCAAAGCTATCTTCGCCCGTGACCGAGTATCGAGTATAGTCACGCTGTTGTAAGGTAGAAGGAACGTACGGGCCTCGTGATAGACCGGAAGTTTATAGCCATTGAACGCCTCATAACAGTCGCCGGCAATGCTCTTATCCGTGGCAAAGTATCTTACAAATACGTCCAGCCAGTGTGCGACATCCTTCGTGTTACGCAGTATAACATCAATGTGCGAGTCATCGCTTTGGAGCTTTGAGGCTTCAAGGCCAGGAGTGACGTATTTCTTTGGTAGGCTGATCGCGAGAGGTGATGAAGCGTGTCTCTGACGAAGAGAGCCAATGTAGCGACCCGTCGTCGTATCCGGGCCCACGTCCAGATAGTTGAGGTTCGGACATTTCTGCAGGCCTTTCGCGATCGAGCACCAGTTACCGTCGGTCAGAGATACGAAGTCGAACATGACGTGTTGTAGCGTTCCAGAATGTCGTTTGAGAAAGCCTCGAAGACGACTCCCACTCACGTAGCCGCCACAAAGCTCGAAGTGAGTAAGATTTGGATAAGTGTTCTTGGCGAAGATACCGGCCCAAACATCTTCGCATCCGTGACACAATCGTAGACGTGGAACGGTGTCGCATCCGCGAAAGCTGACTTCCTTCACGCTCGAGAGTTTGGCGGCTAGCTTTGCTACTTGTGGGGTGACGGACTTGTAGCTAGAGTAGTGGCGGCCGAATTCGTTGTGTGCGACGTCAACTCTTCTCATGTCTGGCTCTATGTCCCCGGGACTTTTGTGTAAAGTGGCTTGGAACTCGAGATGCGAGATGAGATGCGGAGACTCGATTAACGGGTTCACAAAGCGATTGTGCGATGATAGTTGGTAGTCCTTTGGATTCACCAATACGTGGATTATTTGGCGGGGGAAAGAGGCGAGGTTGAGTGCGGCAAGGACGGTGGGATAAGTTGTCGCTTCGCAGAGGTAGATTGTCAGCAATGAGGTCGAATTTGCAAGATTCTTGAAGCTTTCTGTCATCATGTAAACCGCTTCGGGAGAGTTCGCAAAGGCAGTCTGCTCTTCCCAAGATGAGCTGTCCGCGTATTCACCACAATCACAGAAAGAACTTCCGTCGCAATACACACTGTCGCATGGCGTATCAAATCTGATTTCGCGAAGTCGGTCTCGGAAATAGGGAGCGCGGCTCATCGAATATAGGACGCCGAGGGATTTGTAGGTAAGTCTGACCACGAGGTGGTCTAGCATTTCTCCGTAGAGAACCCCAACGTCGAATAGCGTTTTCTGGTAGACAGACCTGCAAGAAAGTCGGAGCGACTCGAGATCTTGAGGAAGAGTACAGTCGAACATATCATCTTCCAAGATGATGAAGCGACATATCCTGCTAAGAATCTCCGGCGGTAGCGCAGACAGGGCCATGACTGGGGATCTCCGGCGGCTTGGGCGAGGTGTGCGAACAGGGAACGAGATTGACTTGGCCGTAGATGATGTACATGCCAGTGCTGAAGAAACTGCGTTGTTCTGTTGTGGGTGCGGTCAGGCGGTCAAGTATCGACCTGAGGAGGTAGCACTTGCCAAGCAGGCAAATTATGAACGAAATGTTTGCTCGATTCTTTACTGCGTACGTCACCGCTAGCACGGACCCAGTCTCTAGCCGAAAGACATCGCTGCCTCAAGTGAAAGAGCTCAATGACAGGAAGCTTGAGCAAGTTGCCATCCTCGCACTTTTCTCTCGTACTTTGATGAACGATTGCAAATTCCTCGACGCCACTCTCTATACATGCACTTCGATATACCACCAACGAACGTAGATACGAATGCAGACGCAGAACAAAACACTTCCACCTCACCCATCATCACAGCCTCCCATCAACATTCCCATACTCAGCAAGCTCCACCTCATTCAAATGACTCCTCGCCCTCATACTACTCCGCGCACTCTCCGTCGTCGCCAGACTTTGACGCATGAGCACCGCTCTCTTCGGATCCATTTTCGCGTTCGGTGATGCAGGTTTGAAGACTCGATTGCTTTCATGTCCGTAGTACGAGTACCGGGCGGGTCGCTTTCCTTTAGCAGCTAGTGAAACTGCGCTGGCGTTAACACCAGCACCCGAGTACGATCTCGCCGGACGGGTTATGGCTGGTAACGGCCAGTCGTCAGTGTCAGAGTTTTCGTACTTGACTGATGATTCGGGCGAATCATGGTGCAATTCCCACTCCTCATGTTCCCAGATGGGGTCAGAGTATGTCGACGAGGAACCCGATGGTTCGTCGATATATACCGACGAGAATGATGTTGTCGCTGATGTTCGTCTCGGCGCGTAGGGACGCGGGTGCATCATCTTCTCCATCTGCGCATCGAACACGTGACTTGATGCAGTATCTCGCTGATGCAGTCGTGGCAAGCTACGACGAAGCGACAACATTCGTGCTGGGTTTCGTGGAGGTGGTGTTCGCTTCTCGAGATCCAACATCTCGTAGCAGGCTTTACCTATCCAGAGCATCTGCTCATGCTCGCGAAGGTAGCGTTCACCACCGAAAGACTTCTGGACAATGCTGCGGGCCATCATCCCCAGCTTTCTTCGATGTTCAGACTTCTCGTACATCCGACGCGTGATGATCTCGACGTCTTTTGGTGTGGGTTTGTGAGGTAAGATTGGTGCCGCTACCCCAGCGCCATCGTCGGCGTATTGAGCCCACTCATCCAGCATAGCGAGTAAGTTGATCTGCGCACGTGCGAGTCCATATGCGTCATTGGGTGCCACAACTTCGCTATAGCGTTTACCGTCATCAGGGTCAGTGAGCACGCGCAGGGATGCGCCAACGTCAGTACAGACGACTGGCGCTCCGGTGAGTGCCGCTTCTCCAAGCGCAAGCGGCAGTCCTTCGGACACGGAGGAGTTAAGGAATAGCCAAGTGTTCGCAAGGACCATTGCTGGGTCTGCAGTGCCGCGCATCGCTACATTTTGTCCAAGACCTTTGCAAGCCAAGATCTCTTGACATTCGGAGGAGTAGACGGGTGATTTGTTGAGAGCGCCGTAGATATCGAGCTTGTAGTCTTTGAAACCCCATTCGTTGGTGATGATGTCCGCCGCAAGTAAAGCTGTCTTGATGTCTTTCGCAAACCAAACGTGAGACAGCATGGTTACTGTCGGCGTCTTGGTTTTGATCTCGGTCACCGGAGAGAACTTGGTCATGTCGGTAATTCCGTTGACGATGGGATCGACTTTCCGACGAAACACGTTCCGGTGTGTAAGTTGCCCCTCTGCGCTACCGATCTCCACCTCCCAGCCGGGGTTGAAGAAGTCTAGCATATCAAATTAGTCACTTGGACTGGGATAAAAGATGCGATGCACCTACCTGCACAGGGAAGAATCTGATCGGCGTGATGCAAGATGAGACAAGATGTCAACTTCATTAGACCCAGTAGCGAGTTTCGGATGAAGGGCGGCAGAGTGCACATCGCGGATGAGAGGTAAAGGTTAGTCTCACGCCAGGAGATTGCATGATCCCAGATTTGAAGTGTGCAGTTGCGCTTCAGCTTGCAAACGATCCCGTAGGACGCTGACACGCTGTGGTGCGAGGCTTGGAAGACGTGGGGTATCTTTTCGGGGATGGGGATCGAGAAAATGAATAGATCTACTCAAGTTAGCTTCGTCGCGATCAACAAGAGGATATTACTTGCATCGGAACCACAGCTCTAGCGCCGTGTCGAAGTGATTAAGCGTTGGAAGCTCAGTACGGAACCATTCTGAGGGCGGTTGCGCGTTCGGCATGTCTTCATCGAGCCACAGTCTCCTCCATGTATCTTTGACCACATCGCTGGTCCAGACCTCTTTCCAGTGACGCGAATCCTGAAAATATGTGTTCAGGTTGACCAAAGCACGCGTCGCTTGCTTCACGTCTGCTGATGTCATTGTAGTCGCCCGTGCGCCGCGAACGAGAGCAGTCAAGGTAGGAATGAAGTTCGTTTCGATGTCGGATATCGTTGCTGCTTTGACCAGATGGTCGACCTCGCTGTCCAGCTTGTTGGTGAACATCCCATGGTTTGGATGCATGAAGTCCAGTCCCCATAGTGGTATCACCTTGAGTGACTCGACGTTCTCTTCGGTTTGGTGCTTCGGCAAGCCAAAGTCGTTAGCCGATTCGACGACCATGTGCCATTTGATGGTGCGCAAGTTGTTGATGAGATCTCGACGACATGCCGAGACTCCACCGCCTTCATTCGGCCATGTACCAGTGTCAACAGCGATGACATGAAGGTTGTGGTCGGTATCGCGTTGTAGTGCTTTCGTTCTTGTGAAGATAACGGCATCCCCACCCTGACCAAAGCTGAACAAATCACTCATTCGAATTGCAAGTGGCGTCCATGCGCTGATATCGCTTGTGAGGTCTGAGCTGGCCATGATGGCGTCGGCATGCAGCGCCAGATAATCTTCAGCCTTTACGAGGCTGCCGCGATCTCTCCGTCTCCAATATGGGCGGAGGAGAGCTTCTCTGCGAATCAACTCTTCATCTACCCATCGGATGACAACACCATCTAGATCGTTTCGCTTCTTCCAAGCTTTCCAGAGTTGGGATCGAGCTCTGGAAGTGGAAATTTCTTGTTGTTTGATGTTTGTGCGCAGCATCCGACTGAAGAAACTGGAAGACGGGGACTTGAAGGCTAACAAGGGATTCTCGTCCGCGAAAGTACATCGAGTTGGCTTCTTTAGTACGCCGAGCCAATCATGACGAATCATATCCGGGGTTTCGACTGGGGCGCCGTTAAGCTTCGTAGTAATGGTTGGATGGAACTTGTGGTCATACAGCCATGAGCATTCATATACATCGGCTCCTTGGACGAATGTCGCTTCGTGAACGCGAGGGGTGGGTATCCAGCGCTCCATCTTCTCGGCATGGCGAACAGGAGGTGCACACCAGCTGACGTTGGCTGACATGTGCGGCAGCACAAATTCGGCGCGGAGAAGTTCGTCGTCGTATTTGGCGTTCTTGCGATAATGATACTTGAAACGGACCAGATTATTGTGGTTGATATAGCTTCCCGACTCGATGTGGCCCTTCCGGTTGTAGATAACCTTGGCACCCGCATCCTGGCCGCTGCGACAGGTTCTGCTTAGAGGCACCCTACTCTTCTTGACTTTCGAGATCTTCGTCTTACGCTGAAGTTGCTTCAACGCATACTCGTAAACAAACTCATTGGTGACCGCGCCATTCTTGTACTCTTCACGCAACGTGATGCGCATCTCTTCGTCATAGTATGTGACCCGGAGATGACCCCAAGTAGGCTCTGCTTCCAGATCACCTTGATAGAACATCAGTTTAACCCCGCCAACTTTGACAGGATGAATGAATGCTGTCTCCGTGTCTCCATAGCTTCGAATGATCAGGCGAGTCTTTTTCTGGACGATCAAACTACCCTTCACTGTTCCAGCAAGGCCTGCGATGTCTTTGCGGCGATGGTACAAGAAAAACGGCAGAGCAACGGACATTGCAACCCGACTGTATATCCACAAGCCTGTCAGAACGAAGGTGGCAGACGTGGCTAGTGGACGTGGTGTGTGTATCAAGGCTCCGTTCAGCTCGCGCTGGTATTCAGGGTCGGCCATACATGCGAGGAAGAAGAACTTGACCCACGTCCCAGCAGAGTGGTAGACATAGGCAATCGGCAGACGGACGTATTCAGTGAAGATGCTGAGAACTGAGACAGCCGAGTGATTGAGGACAGGATGATACGCCTCCTGGATGTCCGCGGTCATTTGACGATACTCTTTCTCGGTTAGAGCCTGATCACCTCGGTTCTTGAAGAAGCTGTACTTGACGACCGCTAAGTACGCGCCAAGGTCATATCGCGCAATGCACGACAGAATGGTACACGAGCTTTCCACCGGAACGTTCGCGTTTATCCATGCCATTTCTGTGTTCGTATAGGGTGCGCGGACGCCAACACATCGTCGGAGGAAAAGGCGACGAATCTCGAGGGGAAGATCTTCCCATTGACTCTCGCAGTTGAACCCAAGGCATAGATTCCGCAACAGTTCTTTGCGAAGCGCAGTTTCAAAGCTCGAGGCTTTCGGTCCCACGATAAGCTCCGGCATCGACCGCTTGCTGCATTCTGATATGGCGTAGAAACCACAGTCGCTTTCCCGGCAAGCAAGCATTGATTCTGTAATCTCAGCCTGGTAGTGCGGCATGCCAAACAAGGTTTCTGAACAAGCGTGCAGCAACGTCTCGGCAATGATCGCACTATTGCTGCTCACATTCATCTGCTTTGAGCCAGACCCCTTTGCATCCGAAGCGACGTAAAGCGTGAGACGTCCGCCTGTATAATGCGAGATCGCCCGTAGGTCGCAATCAACCCCAGCCACAGCCTGCATAGGAACGATGAAGACTTTGATGGATTCGTTTTTCCACGCCAGAACGATCCGCTGGATTAGAAAGGGCATAGTCGGGAATGCTTGCATGGCAAGCCTAGAGAGATTTTCGTGGGTGCATGATAGTAGGATAGCACAGATCTGGTCACCAGGCTGACCGTTGGGATACACGCGGAACCTGTTCTCCTTAGGTGCAGCCCGTAGCTTGCTGCAGTACGCGTGGAGCTCACTTTGACTGAACTCCGCATCACCACCAGTGCCGCTGTAGGCGCGATATCGCTCGTCGATGGCTGAACGATCTACACCTCGAGACGCGACGCAGCTCAAGCTAGACATCTCGGTCGATTTAGTGGGCTCCCTGTTCTGCTCGGTGTTTGGTAGTAGGTTCGACATCCAGGTACGCACGTGGAGCAAATCAGGCATGCCTAGCTTGGCAGTCCGGAACGAGAGAAGAGCTGCCGTCCAGGTCGAGACAGCAAGTGCAATGATCTTGTTGTACATGAAACCTGGTAAGACCGTGATGAGTATGTTGCCAGTTACGAAGCCGAGACTGACTGCTGCCAGGAGTGGCATTAGTGCATGCGGGCCGGAGAAAATCTTGTTGTACTGGTAGAGGAGTAGACCAGTATATGCGCCAACGTAAGCCAGGAATATGGTGAGACCCACTGAGGAGCCATTGAAAATCCAGATCAGTGCAGCACATATCGCCAGGGCCCAAACATGGACACCGATAAATCGACATAAGGTGTTCAGATACAAGTGTCGCCTGAATTTCAGATCGTTGGATTTGGCTTTGTCGATCTGGTGTGCGTCCTTGATCGAGACTGGAGACATTTGCTCAGACATGGTGTGTAAGTGTTGAGCTTTGTAGTCAAGTAGTACAGCTCCAATGAGGTAGTATGCAAGACCGAAGCCGACTGAGAGGCGAAGTGTGTCGTTGTCTATGGAGGGAAGCAATCCGACTAGTTGGCCGCCAGGTTGGTTACCGCCGCGTACAAGATCGAGCCATCGATCCATGAGTGCGACGATGAAGTAGAGTATACCACAGTAGATCTCGTCTCCAGCGGTCCTCCAATGGATGAACGAGTTGTGAAGGCGAATACCTTTTTGCGACTGCTGCATGCTTTCAAGCGCCACCTGCGTTTCAAGATTCCAGGTTGAACTGTATGGGATCGGTCGTTTGGTGTCGGTAATGCGTGCGTACCAGTCCAGTAAAAATAGCGTGGAATCCCAGCAACCTGCGAGCTGTCTGACGAAGGCATCATTCGTAGGCTTCTGCCAAAATCGGCGTCCGTTCTCCTTCAAGACTGCGCTGTGTAGCGCGGTGCGGCAAAGAGCCAAGATTGCGGGCTCACTCATGCCGTAGAACAAGTCTTTGGCACTAATCGATGCTTTTGAAGAAGGCGCGCTCAAGTCGAGGACTTTGGATGCGGTATGAGGACCTTTGCTCGATTGATCTGCAGAAGTCGGATTAGCATGTGTGGCTGAAGCGTTAGGTGTGGCATTACCTTTAGGATGCATACCGCTTGTGACACGCTGCTCTTTGGCTGACCGTTTCACATACCAATCCTTGATGTCAGCATCGTTAAGCGTCTTGATGTTGTGATACCAGGTCACCCATTGCGTCGCAACGTGCCGAGTACCGAGGATCAGCAAGGTAATGAATATATAGAGAACTCCTGGATAGATGTAGATGTCGTAGTCCTGAATGAAAATGGTCAACAAAGGGGATATCACTAATGTCGGGACTACCATGATGATGACTTTGCGACCATTGAGGAAACTGGACCCGGGAACCTGATATGTGGAGAGGACAGCAAGCACGGTGAGGTATGTTGTGAGGCCGAAAAGGTAGAAGACGAACACCGCCCCAAGGCCTGGACCCACGACAGCTGAGATGATGACAAAGCCAAGAAGACAGCCAGCAAGAGTGAATGCTA